TCTAAACCCCATTTGTTCAATTATGGTCCCTTCAATATGCTTATTTAGGTTCTTGTAAATTGTAATCACTAAATTAGACGTGCTGCCCTCACAGCTCTAGGGTTAGCTTTCAGGGGACTTCCTACATTAATTTTTTTTAATGTTTGCAGTGAGATGAAGAAGGGAATTGGTTGCTTGGTATGCAGGGCTGGCTGTTGCAGGGGATGCTGCCTGCATGCTGATGTGGCACTGCCCAGTGAGGAGCAGGGGTGCTGCAGCACTGCCTGAGCTCTGCTGGCCAGGGCCAGGGCGGGAGCTGCTTTTGTGCTGTGGGGTAAAAATCAGAGATAAATGCACTGGAACAAGCGCAGGCTGATAAACGGGATCTCCTAAAGCCAGCACATGCTGCTAACAGAGATCTGAGGTGACACAAGAGGGATGGAAAATCCTCAGCGTCACTTTCTGTATTCAGATATCAGCTGCTGTCTCTCTTTCTGGTCTTTTTCCCCTTTTCTTTTCTTTATGTTTTGCGTTGACATTTTTAATATCGAGCATTTGGTACTAAACCAAATCACCTTGCTGAGTCACCCAGAGCCTTTTCTTTCCTCTTTTTACCTTTTCTGGATGGACTCTCATTTGCAGACACACCATTTTCCAAAGCAACACCTCTTCCCTTTCAGCTCATTTACCTGGAGATTTCAGCAGCTTTGGGAAACAGGCTCCTCAGCCCTGTGCAAGTGCTTTTATATATCTGTCATTTAAAGAGCCTTCCTGAGAAGTGGTGCCTGGGTCTGGTGTTGCAGATAAATTGTGTGTTTGTTGCAGTACTAGATCATGCAAGCTCCAATATCCCCACCATATTGTGCCCATTTATTTCTTTTATCTCTCTGTTTAATATAATAGGAATAGTGGCTGAGGCAGGGAAACATATGCAGCAGCAGCATAATAGTAAATTGTTTGGGAGCAGTTGCCTTCCATTTCCAGGGCTTCCCTTTGAAATGTAATTGTCTGCTAATATAACAGGGAAATATCATTGCAGGAGTGATCACTACAGCGTTCACTCCTGCTTTTGGCTCATGCTACATCTGTATGGTGGTTTTTTAAGAGGAGCTGGCTGCAGTATTAGCTGGTGAAATATCCTTGGTGAGATGTGTTTGCAGAAGTTGTGATGGGCATATTGTCACCGAATGTGGAAACAGCCCCGAGCAGTGCCAAAACAAGAGAGACACCGAGTCCCATGTGTGAGGCAGCAACAACAGAATTACAATTGCCTCGTGTAAAGTGTCTGGTAATGAAGGCAGATAATGGAATTCTTTGCAAAAGCAGATGCTAACTGGCTCCCCAACCCTAGGCAGCCAGCTGAAAACTGATACCAGCTGGAGGGGAGAAAAAACAGCTGAAAAAGGCATTCAGGAGAAGATGCCTTAGATGCAGGTTTCTTTAAGCAGTAAATACTTGTTTAAAATGATTTTGTGAGATCCTTATTAAGAGGCAAGCTGAGGCTAACCGTGACAGTGCTGTAGGAAGTCAGCTGGATGCCCAGAGGATATTTGTGTGCAGATTGGATGAGTGAGGCAGCACCGCTGGGACTCTGTTGTCATTTATTATTGCCTGGCCAGGACAGCCCTTGCAGGGCTGAGCTGCAGGAGGTGGCACTGGGGAGAGCCAGAACCTTCTGCTGGCCAGGGAGGAGGCAGCCTGAGCTGGCACAGGGTTGGTTTTAGAACCAGGGGTGTTGTGAGCATGTTCACAGGGGCCTGAGGATGAGGGAAGAGATGAGGATCTGACTCCACGTTTCAGAAAGCTGATTTATTATTGTATGATATATATTACATTAAAACTATGCTAAAAGAATAGAAGAAAGGGTTTCATCAGAAGGCTAGCTAAGAATAGAAAAATAAAAAATGAGAGTCTGAGCCAGCTGACTGTGATTGGCCATTAATTAGAAACAACCACATGAGCCCAACCCCAGATGCACCTGTTACATTCCACAGCAGCAGAGAATCAATGTTTACATTTTGTTCCTGAGGCCTCCCAGCTTCTCAGGAGGAAAAATCCTAAGGAAAGGATTTTTCATAAAAGATGTCTATGACAGGGTATCTCTGCTTGTCCCTTCTCCAGGACAGCGGTGCCTCCTGCCAGGATGGAAATGGGGCTGGCTCCCAGCATCCTCTGCCTCCCTCCCTGTGTTCTACCTCTTACTCACCCCAGCCATCTCAAATCATGGAATAGTTGCTTTGGAAATGAAGGTGATAATTTAGAATCAAGGGCTTAGTCCACACAGAGGCTTCCTTCTGTTGTAAGTAAGGAGTTCTTCCAACAAATAACACAATGGGGAAAACACTTGAAAAAAAAAAAAAAACAAAAGAAAACAACTGAGCCCCTTAACAAATAAAGCAACCAGCCCTGGAGTTGGTCTCTGCTTTTTGCCCAGATAAATTTTTTCTTTACCCAAAGATTTGTTGCCACAGTGGGGAATTTTGGCATTTCTGGAGCACAGACCGGGGGTTCAATCACCAGACTTCCAGACCTGAGGTTCAATCACCAGACTTCCAGACCTGGCCCAACACAGGCTGACCAGGAATTTTAGTGGGGCTTTGTCCCATCCCAGGCAATTGCCCAAAGTACTGATTTTTGAAGGACTAAAGCTCACTTTTAGTTCCATCCCAGCTCAGAAAGGAATACACATGTGCTTCTGGACTGCCAGCATTTCTCCCATGTGAGAAAACTCCTTTCAGGGAGGAAACACCGTGGAATTACAGACTTATTCACAGAGGCACTGTGTCTGCAGGCAGAGGCTGGAGCAGTGTGTGCTTGCTGTGTCACAGGGCTGAGTGTCACAAGGCAGGAATGAGTTTGAAGATGTGCAGCTCCATCTGCACTGCATTTAAACCTCTGTGTGTGTGTGTGTGTGGGCACAGCTCCTGTCTGTGCACCCAGCTGTGAGTTGTTCAAGTGATGCTTTACACAGGTTCCTTGCTCCTGGCAAGCAGCACTGAGATGTGTTACCCATGTACAGCCAGCAGTGCAGGGAGCTGTGGCAGGAGGTGATGGACAGCAGCCCTCCAGCTCCAGTTCTTGCTTTTAGCCACAAAAATGCAATCAGTAAGAAAAAAAGCCCTTTTCTGCTGGTGCCCAGCTCTGGGGTGTGCTGCAGCTCCTTGCTGTGCTGTAATGAGTAATTGGTCTAATTGTGGTGGGCAGCAAATGCCTTGGAGCTCTTCGGGTCTGGACTTGGCCTCGTGGGCAAGAAATTAAACCTCAGTGCTGTGACCAAGCCAGGTGTGGCTGCATCTCCTTTGCTTTCAGAAACTCCATTTCTGAGACCCTTCCTGTCTCCCTGTTCTGGTCTAAGAAGACAAAACAGTTTCCAAATCTGTGTAGCAAATGACACCTCTAATTACAAGCTGACCCCATTAGTTAAGAAATGCATTAAAGAACCATGCAGCTACATGGATTGCCATTTATTTAACACAGTTACATGAAATTTTGGGGGCATATAATTGTAACAAATGAGCTTTCTGATTTTTTTGGTGATACTCTGATTTTGTGCAGAGCTCTGTGGGGCTTTAGCAGCTTTCCAGGGATAACATCTCACCCTGGCTATACACCCTGAGGTTTTGAGCGTGGCAGGAAAATGCCAGCCTGTAAATGCAGCAAGGGGAGAGCTGGTTGCTCTCAGTGGGGCAATTCTCTTGTGTGCAGCTGGGGCTGGAGATGGGAGCTGCTCTCCATGTCCCAGTGGGCTCTGCCAAGGCACAAGGGGCTGCTGCAGCTGGAGCAATTACTCAGGAAGGATCCTTGGAGAGAGGAACCACTGGGAACATCCCATGTTCAGCTGCATCAGCCTGATTCACAACACAGGGGCTGTGGGAGGAGCATCTCTGCCTCATCTTCCTTCTTCTCAGCAGTTTTTATTCACTTTTGGTTGCCTCCCTCTCACCTTCCCCAGCTCTTTTCCCTCTTCCTTGTTGTCATGGGAACATTCACTACAGCAGTTAAATCATACTATTAAAATGTGCTTCCCCAGGAGGGTGCTGGTAGCTAATATTGATCTAGCTCCTGCTGCTGACTCAGGGATATGGCTGAACATATAATATCCCTTATTTCTGCCTTTCATGCATAATGCAGCAGTTTCTCTCACCTTGGGCTCCGTGCTAAGGTGACAGCCAGCCACAGGGGTGTGCTTTGACTTGCTCTTTCAGGTGTGTGGCCCAGCTGAAGGGTGCAGGTGGTGCTTTAAGCTGAAATCTGCAGAGGGAAAGCAGGCAGGACAGAGCTGCCCTCCCCAGCAGTGGTGATGGATGTTTGTGTGCCAGTGGTGAAAATACACTCAGATTAACCTGTCAGCATCCCCAGCCACGCTGTGTGCTCCCAGTAACTTTGTAAATACATCGAGCTCTGTCACAGGAATGCTTGAAATGCAGATGAAAGACAAATAGCTACCTGAATATCAGGTGAGGCTGCATTTAAAAATGCAATCACTCATCTCCATTGTCCCTGACATCTGCTCTGCCTAATCAGCCCGTGGAGTTCAGCAGAGCAGTGTTGGGAAGATTCCTGAGTCACCAGGAGGGAGCACAAGGTTTTACCTTGAGATGTGAGCTTGCAGTAATGTTTGAGCCATTAAGGGCTTCACTTTCCCACAGTGGTTAATTAACCAGCTCAAACTTTACGAGAGTTTCCTGGATTTGATAGGTTTGGTAAGGTAAAGGTGCCTCTGGAATTTCCTTGTTTACACTCCTTTCAGAAACGTTTTGGTTTGGAACCAGGCTGTTGTACAAATAATTAAAAATAGCGTGGGTTTCGTGTGAAGAGTAATTGCAGCTGATGCTGCATTTTGCTGTGTGACTGATACACACAGAGCAAATGGTATTTTAGAGTCTGTGCTGAAAAGACCTCTGTTAAAAACACTTATTTGCTGAGAAGCCATAAATTTCTGGCATATTTGTGCCTGTTGTTGAACATCTGCACGTAACTCACTTCACGTTCTAACTCCCTTTATGTTTTGGCCTTCCCAGAAAAAATCAGGCAGAGATATGCAGATCTCCCGGGAGAATTGCACATTATTGAGCTGGAGAAAGACAAGAATGGGCTGGGGCTCAGCCTGGCTGGCAACAAGGACCGCTCCAGGATGAGCATCTTCGTGGTGGGGATCAACCCCGACGGCCCCGCGGGACGGGACGGGCGCATGCACATCGGGGATGAGCTCCTGGAGGTAAAAGTTCCCTGGATACACCATGGGGATGAGCCCCTGGAGGTAAAACCCTGCCCTGAATGCAGTTTGGGGATGAAATCCTGGAGGTAAAGCCCTTCCCTGGATCCCTTTGGGAATGGAGGTCTAACTCTTCCCTGGATACACCTTGGGGATGGAGGTAAAACCCTTCCCTGGATCACTTGGGGATGGATGTAAAACTCTTCCCTGGATGCACTTTGGGGATGAGTTTCTGGAGGTAAATCCCTTCCCTGGGTGCAAATTAGGGATGAGCTCCTGGAGGTAAAACTTTTCCCTGGATACACCTTAGGGATGGAGGTAAAATTCTTCTCTGGATGCACTTTGGGGATGGAGGTAAAACTCTTTCCTAGATCACTTTGGGGATGAACTCCTCTAGGTAAAATTCTCCCCTAGATGCAATTTGGGGATAAACTCCTGGAGGTAAAATCCATCCCTGGATGCACTTTGGGGATGGAGGTAAAACTCTTCCCTGGATGCACTCTGGGGATCAAACTCCTTGAGGTTAAAACTCTTCCCTGGATACACCTCAGGGATGAACTCCTGTAAGTAAAATTCTTCCCTAGATGAAATTTGGGGATGAACTCCTGGAGGTGAAATCCATCCCTGGATGCACTTTGGGGATGGAGGTCTAACTCTTCCCTGGATGCCCTTTGGGAATGAGTTCCTTAAAGTAAAACTTTTCCCTGGATACACTTTGGGGTGGAAGTAAAATACTTCCCTGGATGCACTTTGGGGATGGAGGTAAAACTCTTTCCTAGATCACTTTGGGGATGAACTCCTCTAGGTAAAATTCTTCCCTAGATGCAATTTGGGGATGAACTCCTGGAGGTAAAATCCATCCCTGGATGCACTTTGGGGATGGAGGTAAAACTCTTCCCTGGATGCAGTTTGGGGATGGAGATAAAATTCTTCCCTGCATGCACTTTGGGGATCAACTCCTTGAGGTAAAACTCTTCCCTGAATGCAATTTAGGTATGAACTCCTAGGTAAAACTTTTCCCTGGATACACTTTGGGGATGAGCTCCTGGAGGTAAAACTTCCCGGAATGCAGCTTGGGGATGAGCTCTAAGGTAAAATTCTTCCCTGGATGCAGTTTGGGGATGAACTCCTCGAGGTAATTGTTCCCTTTAGCGTGTGCAGGGAGGGAGAGGCATCTTGAACCTTTAAATAAAGCCTGGAAGTGGAATGAGGTGGCTGAGCAAGGAGCTGTGCTGATTTATGCCAACTGAGAACTTGGCCTTTGGCAGGTAAATGTGTTTGCAGTGAAACAAAAATCACTGGCCTGTGAAAAGCAATGTCTTGTCAGCAAAGTCTGTGCTCTCAGCATGTTCACAAGCTCTGCGTGGGGAGGGGCTGCTGGAAGGCAGGAAGGGGACAGTAAATCAATCCTTGGAGTGCATGTGTGGTTTGCAGGGAAATTCACACTTTTCGTTAAAAAAAAAAAGCCAAAACCCCCTCAACGTTGCCATATGTGTTTTTACAGATGACAGGGATATTCCCCATCCTGAAAATAAATTTCATGCTGTAATCTGTTTTGATCTGTTGCAACTTTAAATGCTTATTTTCTGTAGTTGTGTCTGGCACGGGTTCACCCACGAGGCAAGAGAGCTCGTTAGCACGTGGAGTATTTTGTCTTCACTTTCTCTCCAGTCTCCTTGCCTCACCTTCAGCCTGCAAACACAGCTTTCCCTTCACTTCATCTGCCTTTTGGGCTGTTGCAAAATGACATTTTGCTGCTGTACCTGCAGAGATTCCCCACGTGGTGATTGCTTCAGTGGTTTATAAAAATCATCCCTCCTCCCTGGGGATCTTGCCCTTGGAGAGGGGAGCAGGGATTTGCTGACCTGCTGCTCGCCGTGGGTGGTGATGCTCTGAGCTTCCAGCAGCTCTCTGTGCAATCAGAAAACCACCTATTTTTTCACATTTCTTGACTTGAGAAAGAGCAGTTTGGCTGCCTGGGGGCACCCTGGGAATAGTCAGAATTGTCCAAGCATTTGTCATTGTCTAACAGTTCTGTAATTAGGGGGTTTCAATATACATAGCACAAGAAAGATCTTTTTTTTGGCCATAGAAACACCATCATCTGAAGTTGATTTCATTTTAAATGTGAGAGAAGGTATGAAGGTCTGGACCATAATGGAGTAGGGTTGGAAAATTGCTTTCTCCTTCAGAATGATGTTTTTTCTGTCCCTGACACTGAATTCTAATGGTAAAAAAGGGGGAAATCATTAAATTTTGGGTGTGCTGAAAGAGCTCGTGGCACTATTCTCCTCTGCACATCATAGGTAGAGCAGAGGATCTGAAGTTAAATACTTGAAAGAGGCACCATGTGGGATTAATCACAAGGCTGAGTTTTGCGTGGATGAGCCACGTTACAAGGAGCATTTCCCAAAGTGATGGAGTTGCCCTCATTCCTCTCCCTGTTAAGCTGGAAACAAAATGTTTTTTTTTTCCCTTCAGTAGAAGGAAAGTGAGATCCTCCATCTCAAAAATGCCCAGATTCAAATAAAAATCCAAGGAGACTTAGTAACTACCTTGTTTATCCTTGCAATCCAGCTTAAGATGTGCCACCAGTGGGCAGGAGTACAATTCCTTACAGGAAAGGACAAATTCAAACATCCAGCATTACAAAGGGCTGGGTTGTGCTTTGGCCATGAGCTCTGGGAAGACAAAACTCACATCTGGCTCTCACCTAACTGCATGTCTAAGGTACATTTGCATCTGCATCTTTAATTACACCCCAGTTTTCAGTACAGTTTTCAGTACTGGAACTCAGCCTCAGCAAGAGAAGGGATTCACATCTTGGGAAGCCTCTGGCCTCTCTGGGCTGCCCCATTTGGACAGTCTTGCTCCATTAAAGCAGAGGATGTCCCTGCAGGGTGTGCAAATTATTCCCTGTGGATTTTGCTGGAGTTCAGGTTGATGGGATGGCCATTTGGACAGACAGATGTTACCTGTTCATTTTCCTTTTGAGCTGGGGTTTGATTGGGTTCAATTGGAGGGTGTGGGATGGTGCCAGGCTACCTCAGCTCCTTATTCATGAAATCTTTTGTTGCTGAATTAATGAAATGCCAGCTCATTTTAGCTTCTGCAAACAACAGTAGCCTTGTGGGGGCGTGATCCTGGCTTGTTTTCACTGACATGGAGGGAAATGCAGGTCACATCAAAAACCTTCATGTATTTTTATTTTTTAATTCCTCTTCAGTGATGTATTTTGGATGCCTGTGTGGCTGGATGAAACAGCTTTTTGGGGGAAGAAGATCCTTTCATCCTACTTTTATACATGTGGGAAAACCACTTGGGTCAGAATTTTGTCCTTGCACAGAAAAGTGGTTTTTTTACAGGACACAAGTTGTGCTTTTCCATTCTTTTTTCCAAGCAGAAGAACCATCTGTGGTGCTCCTGCCTGGCTCTCATGCTGGTTTAGTGCAGGTGTCTGCCCTGCTTGGTGTCTTTGGGCTGGGCTCAGTGCTGGGGCTGGTGGTGCCCAGCATGGCCCTCAGCGGGGTCACCTGGGGCTGTCCCTGTGCCTCGAGTCCTGCTGCTCCCCATTACCATTATTATTATTATTATTATTATTATTATTATTATTACTACTACTACTACTACTCCTCCCCTTCTCCTCCTTCTCCTCCTTTTCCTCCTTTTCCTCCTCTTCCTCCTTCTCCTCCTCTTCCTCCTCTTCCTCCTCTTCCTCCTTCTCCTCCTTTTCCTCCTTCTCCTCCTCCTCCTCCTTCTCCTCCT